TCTTTCACCATTCTTAAGCTTCAAAAGGAAAATATGTGAGTTGTGAGAAGAAATGGGCCCAAGCTGGTCAGGATTTGCATTACTGGTTGTGTACATCACATCTCTAATTTAAAAATTACAGAGAACTGATGAGAAAGGGAAGCCAACAGAAGAGGTGAAAGACGGACAAGTGACCTTTGGACAATAACTGGTAAGTTGGGGAAACCTATGACTACGTTTGACTTTTGCAGTAGGTCAAAACAATTCACCTAAAGGTATTACTGTAAACCAGGGGAATTCATAAGGACCACAGAAAGAGCTGGGAAACAGGGTAGGTGATTTGATCTAGGATCAAATTCTTCAAAGACAGACCATAAATGGAGAAAATCAAGGTATGTGAAGAGAGTGCTACTTTTAAAATGGTTGACAGTGTTTGCTGGGAGGTTATTGAAGGACAAGAAACTGCACTGGAGAAACTTGTGCTTAGGTGTGAATATTAGTATTCTCACCCCATGAAATCACATCCCATTATGCTCAATGTCAAATACTTAGTAAGTACCCGAGCTTTCACTGATACTCAGCTTCGTCTCATTCTGTTTATGCATGTACAATAGCTTAGATTTATGCAATGATGCAAAACAATGATACATTCACTAATGAAAAATCTTCATCACAATGGTTTTATGTTAAAGTGAGTTAAGAGGATTCCATCAATAATTTCAAAAAGTAGCTAATACTTGAAAGTTTACTCTCAGACACTTAAGATTTTCCCAGATAAAATCTGTCTACATCCTTCATTTTTATTGAGAGCAAATCTCACCAGTTCCCTTTCTACTAACTTGTAAAAAAAAAAATACAAAAAAATAGAACATGTGACTTTGGAAGTGTGCCACATCTTTTCAAGTAATCTTCAAAAAGAATAGTAGTTATGGGGACATAAAAATGATTCAATTTGTCTTCAGAAGAATGTTTTTAAGCTGTGTATTAATTGTATTATGAATTGAAAACGACATAAAATAAGGCAGACCATTCACAAACTACCACAGTATTTCCTTTAGGTCTGGCAGGAACAAAACCACCGTTTTGACATTATATTTTGATTATAATAAGTATTTTATCCAAATTCACATAGCTAGTTCATCTCAAGGCTGCACAAAGGGAAAAGAGAAAGGGGGTAGAAGGATTACCACCTAAAGCCATTAGTAAGTGTCCCCTAATATTTGTGACTGACATGACAAGTATCCGATAATCTAGTATAATCCATGAGCACGTTCCTGCTGCTGATGTACTTAAGATAGCTCAGAACATGGTGAGTTAAGTAGTTCATAAAGTTTTCTATTCTACTTAAATATATGAAGGACACATTTTTGAGAACCAGCAGAGGTAGGTTCTTCCTTCCTGTGTAAACTCAAGTTTTTGATAACTAAGGAATCATTAAAGAGACTTATTCTCCACAAAATAAAATGTGAATCATAAGAGATAAATAGAAGACTACAATAACAAGCAATATCCTTAAGTGGTTCCTTTTGATGCCTGCATGATAGATCCTGTGTGCGCTCAGCACAGTAAATAAATTGTGGGGTGGATGGATGTGAGGGTGACTTAGTAAATGACGAACTGTACTGATCAAGGGAAACGCTTAGCTAGAATAAGAGAAATGTCAGTGGTTGATTTTCAAAGTAAAGATAACATTGGTTAAAACTAGGGAGTGAAGAAATGCATTTCATTAGTTTGTCACCCTCTAGACTACTGAATACTGAAAAATGAAACTGTCTCCTAGAATAAGTCATTTCTACAGGCTAATAATTAAAAAGAATAGGAGCATACTCTGTAGATTATTAGTTTCTGTTAAATTATTGTTGCAACCAGTAATGACGAAAGAATATTTGAAATCCAATACTGACAATTAATACTCCACTAGATGGAGCAAAAATATAAAACAGCGAATTCGATCAAGCAAGCCACTGCACATCACTTATACCCAGTAACAAAAATGGAATGGTGAACCATCAAGAGTAAAATATACAAGCAAAAGGAAGACTGGAGAAAGGAAGAAGACTAGTAGCAGGAAGGAAGTGAGAGCGAGAGGAGCACGGGGTGGGGGAGATATGGGGGTGGATACAATCAAAGTACATTATATACCCAAAAGAAATGGTCTTTATGAAACCCAGAACTATGTACAATGAAAATAATCCAATAAACAAAAAAATTAAGCACACAACTGAAACAACAGGAAGACATAATGCTAACAAGACCCTAACTTTCAAAATAGAGAAAAAACACATATTTGATTAAAGACCTATGAAACAGGATTCAACAGAGACTTATTTTTTAAGTTTAAGAACGTGTCTCAAATCTCTATCTCCACATTTCCTTTTATAAAAGCTAGCAGGGAACAAATACCAAGGGTATCAACACAATAAGAAGTATAAAAATAAAATAAAACAGGGTTTCCCAAGGGGAAGAGCCTATTTGCAAACTAATTTAACAGGAGGAGAAAGGGAAGTGAGAGAATGATGGCAGGAGGGCGGGAGCTCTGAAGGCTGTGATGACTAACTGATGCAAATCATCAGTTACTATCTCTGCTGTGTTCTGCAGAACTATTGGAAGGACTGGAAGCTGTTATTAAAAAGAAAAAAAATACTCTTATAATGTGACCTTAAGAGTTTTGCAAACATTGGACTTGAATTTGGGGACCCAGAAATTTAGTATGCAATGCCTCATGGGATAGTTGGAAATATAAGAAGCATAAAACCTGTTAGGAATCTGACCCTAAAGAAAGATTGGCCCAGGTGCCAAAGAGAAAAGTCAGATACCTATGGAAACAGGCATTAACAGTTAAAGGGAGAAGGTCCTGGACAATGAAATATAGTAGCTACAAATAGGACCCTGTATTAACCATCACAAACCAAGGCTGAGGTTGACACCCCAACTACCTCAGCTTTGTAATCCACAAGAGCCCCGCCTTTTTTATTCAACCCTGTTTCCATTATAGTTAGCTCCACATTCTTATACAACTAATAACAATACCACCTTACCCAGAACTGCCATGTAGCACTTACTAAAAAAAAAAACTTACACAAGTTGCAACATATAGTAAATCTGTGCATAAGAATACACAAGAACAAGCGGAGAGGGAGAAGAAAGGGAAATTAAGCCAAGCTTTTAGACAAGGCTTCCCCGTCCCAAAATACATTCTTCTGCTGTGAAACTCCTTCTCTCTCCAAATTCACCCCACCCCATTGCATTGTTTACTCTACTGCTGCCAGAAATTCTAGCAATTACAGGTTCATTTGAGCTAACAAGAAGCCTGCTAAAGCTATAATAAGTACTGCTGCCAGGATGATGTGGCTGGCTATCAGTTATTCACACATTGGTGTGAATTATCTCAATCAAGTCTCCTTCAACAGCAATGAGCTTTTGCCCTGAGGGACTGAAGCAGGGTACAGATAGGAAAGCGACTTCTGGAACCCTAGCACATCTGGCTTGGGTACTATTTCAAGGGATTTTAACACCATAGAGGAACCATAAGAGACCAAGAAACTGGGGCCAGGAAGATGGCCTAACACCATGGAGGAGCCTTGAGAGACCAAGAAACTGGAGGCAGCAAGAAGGCCCAGTGCGTAAAGGCCCCTACCCTCAACTCTGATGATCTGAGTTTGATTCCCCAGACCCACATGGTAGAAGGAGAGAGTCTATTCTCACACTAGTTCCATGCCTTGCTCCATTCCTGACACTCTGCCTCTACATGGCTCTGGGGCTCAGGCCAGTACTGTCCATGGGAAACATCAACCACTTAAATAGATAAACTACAATAATTGGGCCTAGGGTACAATGTCACCATCATGTATATGACATACAGTGTTCAAATAAATTATCTGCAAATAAACATTTAGAATGAAATGCATTACTTTTCTATTTGTTCTTTTCAACATTTACACACACACACACACATGTACATACGTGCACACGGACACACACTCACAGTCTTCAGTCTCTTGTGTTTTGAAAATGCTATGTCATTTTTCCTGTTACCATTCACTGAACTCTTGAAAGAGTGCCCCCACACTGATTGTGGCTGCCTCCTGTTCACATAAGCACTGCCTTTTCTTTCTTTTTTTATTTTTTAAAATATTTTATTTATTATTTTTATTTTATGTGTATGAAGGTATTGCCTGCATGTAGAAAGTGCACCCCTGTTATGCAATGCCCACGGAGGTAAGAAGAGACTGTCAGATCCTCTGGAACTGGAGTTACAGACAGTTGTTAGCTGCCATGTGGGTGCTGGGATTCAAACCCAGGTCTTCTGCAAGAACAGCTAGTGTTCTTAACCGCTGAGCCATTTCTCCAGCCCCAGCACTGCCTTTTCTTAAGTTTCCAATCTGAGTTGATTAACACTAACCAAATGCCGTTTTCTAAATTCTTGCATCACTTAGCGCACAATGTGTCTAGTCGGGTATCCTTATTTGTGCTCACCTTAGCTTTCTAAATGAAGACTGTAAGCCAACCATCTATAATCAGAGGTTGTCCATTCAGCTACTTAACCATTTCACGTGCACTTACTTTGTACCAGGGCTGTGCTTAGGTTGTTACATTAAAGCTGAGTAAACTCAGTTCCCCACCTTCAAGGTCTTCATGGACCTCTTCCTGGAGCATCAAGTAGCAGTTCATAAAATCTACTATAACCTAAGTGCCCTCCAGATGACATGAATGAACAAAAACATAGCCCTAACTAGACTGGGGCAGGGGATTAGAGAACATTTCACCGAGGTCAAAATCTGAGCTGAGTATTTAAGAATAAGCAAGAGTATGCAAGGCATCAAGTCAAGAGGGAACTGGAGAAGGAAGATGCAACACTAGTTAGAGCACAATTCCAATTGTGACTATATTTGATCAAAATAAGTCAGCAGTATGGAAAGACATTCAAAAAGATGTTATGAGTGGAACGCACAAGACTTAATGGCTAATGTTTGTTTATCACTTATTAGGTGCCAAGTAGTATTAAAATATTCCTAAATGGTTTTCCCATTTACTTGCTGCCCTAGTCTCCCAGCGACAGGAGCAGTTATACACATGGGATAAAACAATATTGGGCCATTGCAAATTGAGATGAAGTAAGTGTTTTGTTTCTTTTGCAAGGTCTAAACATTGTTAAAAAAATTAAAAATTAAAAATTAAAAAAAATTAAATATTTTTTGGTCTTTTTGAGATAGGGTCTCCCTGTAGCCCCAGCTGTCCTGGAACTCACTATGTAGACCAGGCTGGCCTTGAACTCATAGAAATCCGCCTGCCTCTGCCTCCCGAGTGCTGGGATTGAAGTCATGTGCCACCACGCCCGGCCCAAAAAAAAATTTAAAATTTTTTTAAAAACTAAAAAAATAATTTAAAAAAATCCCTAAATGGAACACTTATATCACACTCTCTCTTCCCAAGGCTCAGAGGTCATCACAGAAGGGGGGAAGAAAAACTGTAAGAGCCAGAGGTGGAAGACAGCTACAAAGAAATAGTGTTTTCCAGACAACAGGGCACTTGCACATATGAACCCACAGCACCTGTAACAGCATGCCCAATGATCTACATAAATTCAAGCCAGCCAAGATCCCAGCATGGAGGTGGGGAGGTGGGCAAGAAAACCCAAACATAGCTGAGGAACTACTGGCAATTGATAGCTGCTAGGAGAGGAAGAGTCGAGTTTCTTTAAGGATGTGATGCCGGGTAATTTGAACAGGCACCAGGGGATGGACCCATGCCCAAGAGCATTGGGGGAACAGAAATTAGACTCAGAAGGCCTTTAAAAAATATTAGAGGACACGCCGAGTGTGGTGGCACATGCAGAGGCAGGCGGATCTCTGTGAGGTCAAGGCCAGCCTGGTCTACATAGTGAATTCCAGGACAGCTGGGACTACAGGGAGACCCTGTCTCAAAAAAAAAAAAAACCCAAAGAATTAGAGGACACGAAGTCATGGGGGATATTAAGGTAGGGGTGGAAAAAAGGAGGACATGCAAATCAGGTCAAAATATGTTCTATGAAATTCTCCAAGAATCAGTAAAAATATTTTAAAAATAAAAATGTACCCATTTAGTCAGTGAACTTCCTTAATCCTTACTATACAGTGTTATAATGTAGGTTCTATTACTAACCTTCTTTTAGAGAAGACAAAACTAAAATACAGAAATACCAATCAATGTGATTAAGGTTACACATATAAATATTGGATTTGCAATTTATGCCCAAACAGTATAGTTCCAGAGCTACATGCTCTTAAGTCCCCTACTATATTATCTTCACTTTTGAGGGTATAAGGAGGGGAAGCCTAGATGATTGCCAGGTCATGGAGAGAGAAAAAAGTATAGGTAGAAAGGGCTTCTACAAACTGATAATGCCTAAATTGAGATTCTTGGAATTTAGTTCATTTTCTCCATATACACACTAGCGTTTTCTGGAGTGGTACAAATAAACAAACAGGTACCTGATTACGACCTCCATTTGTTTTCTGTTTCTGAACTTGGCACATTCATCTTCTTCTTGGAATTACTCATAAATGTGACTTACCACCTTTCTTAGGATGAAAGCTCCAAAGGCAAAAACAAAACCTTGTTCAATTTTGACGGACAGCAACTAGTGTCCAATATGTGTTCATTAAAAATAAATTGCCCTGAGCACAGAAAACAGTGCTTCTTGAAGTTTCCTTTTTTTCAGCCATCTGTGAGCTGTCTTCATTTGTCATCTTGGTGGAAACTTCATCGCTTACTTTTTCTTTAAATCAGTCTTAAAACTTAAGATTTATTTTCAAAAGGGGAAATGCATGACTACAAATGGAAAACTGATATACCACAAAGAAAAGCAACTTGTAAAAATGATATGTAATTCCTACAGTAAGTAATGCCTGTGTACAACCTAACATCCTACACAGTACTATACATTACATCGTTGGTACTGTGTTTTATTGGTAGTGGTTTGTATGGTTTTTCCGTGGCATTCATATGAAACAAAGTGAATGGTTTAAGGTGAATGATTCAGAGGCATTTGGGCATTCAAATGCTATGGAGCCACTCCAACAATCAGTGTTGCAAAATATTTTCATTACCCCCAAATAAATCTTATGCCCATTAAGTATTTGCTCCCTGTCACTCATTTTCACCTTTTGGCTGTCATGAACAGTGTTGTCCTGAACATGGATGTGCACAGGTATACATTTGTTTGAGCATCAGTTTTCAGTTCTTTCAGAAATATACCTAGAAATAGAATTTCTAAGTCATATGGTACTTCTATGAGGCAATTTTTAGGGACTCTTGAAGAGACATTCTATAGATTTCTTTGTGTGTTTCTATGTTTTTAAAGCAACACTGTTATTGAACATTTTCACACCAGGATGTTTCTCCAAACATATGACATGAAAAGAAAAAGGTTAACTTTCATTATGCTTATAAAAATACAAATTTGAAATGATTTCTTGATATTCACAGGCTCTTCTTTGCATTTGGTTCTTCTATAACAGTAGCAGATAATTCAGACAACTATGAAACTTGGTCTTTTTTTAATATTTTATTATTTTATTTTATGTGTATGAGTGTATTGACTGCATAAGTGCACCTGAAATGCCTATGGAGGTCAGAAGAGGGCATCAGATCCCCTGGAACTGGAGTAACAGTTGTTAGTCACCATGTGGGTGCTGGGAACCAAACACAGGTCCTCTGCAAGAGCAGTCAAAGCTCTTAACAGCTGAGCCATCTGCCAGCCTCAAAACTGGGTCTTCATATTTATCTTAAGATACATCACAGATTTCATCAAAACTATACCATACTATTACCACTTCCGCCATACTTTTCTGATCATTTTATTTTATTTTATTTTTATTTTTTAAGCTTTTCACTACAGCTTTAACATATTCAGTAACACACTCCAGAGCAACAATACAACTCTTTCACAAGTGGGTGCAAGTTTCTAGGTTCACAGTTGAATTAATATAGTTATATATTATTGAACTCAGTATAAGCCCTGTAAGACATAAAATTGGATGAGTTTTTAACCTTTAAAAAAGATCTGTCTTGCAGACAGACTCATCCTAAAACAAAGCCCTCTAGATAGGCTGACTAGATTCATCAGAAGGGCAAGCATTGGGGAATGGCTGGGGTGCCAACAACACAGCAGACAGTAGCAGGGATATCAGAATATAAGGGCTCTAGTGGTGGAGGGAGGCTCTGG